TCCATATCAATACTTTCTAAGTAACTTTATTAGGATACTTGTACTTCCATGCCGCACCTAGCCCCGCGGCATTCCACGAAGAGTCTGTCAAGCGCGTTCAGAACTTGCACACTTCCGATTGCCTGCGTGCCAACAAGTCGACCATGGCTTGGGGACTCGAAGCTCGCGTACCCTTTTTGGACAAGGCGTTCCTCGACGTCGCCATGACCATCAACCCCGAGGAGAAGATGTTTGGCAAGGGTGCCCAGCAAGAATACGATGAGGATGGGTGCCCTAAGATGGAGAAGGTGAGATAATTCTCTCCATTTCCTTCTGACACTGTAGTGTTGTTGCTGAAGAATGTCCCTAGTATATTATTCGCAAGGCGTTCGATGTCTCTCCCGACGGCAAGGTAAGTCCCATATCCAGCACCTAGACGATTGCTCACTTTCCGTAGCGTTATCTTCCCAAGTCTATCCTCTGGAGACAAAAGGAGCAGTTCTCAGATGGTGTGGGATACTCCTGGATCGACGGGTAAGCATATCTCCCTAGCAAAGTCCGTGACACCACTCTTTGCTAACATGCTCCATAATCTAGCATCAAAGAGCATTCCGCCAACTCTGTATCAGATGAAGCGATGGCTGGTGCAAAGGAACGTTGGCCAGTAGATACGCCCGACACCAAGGAGGCTTATTTCATTCGCGAAATCTTTGAGCGTACGTCAAGTTTAAACACTCCCTCTCTATTAAGGAAGTACACTGGAAGCTAACCTAACAATTATAGACCACTTCCCGTCACCCGCTGCAGCCAAGACGGCTGTCAGATGGATCCCGAGAATGGACTGGGGCTGCTCCTCTGATCCCAGTGGTCGTAGTGTAGCCATTCACAATGCTGCTTATAACAACCCAGCTGAGGCGTGAAAAAAGTCGTTTTCGTGTACTTGAAGATTTAGGATTCTGTAGGACGATAGACTGATTTATAGATGTCCTTTTCCTTTGCTTACAACCTGACTTATCCTGAGCACTAAGGCGTTTGAACAGGTGAAAGAATAAAAGGATGTTCATAGGTTACCGTCTACAAGAAACGAGATTTGAAAGCGGAACAAGAAATAGAAAACTCTACACATACATGAGCCGTTAATACTTTTGTTTGGGAGAAATTAGGAAAAGGAAAAACGGGAAATGGAAGGAGAGACGGCAGGTAGGTGGAAAGTGAGCGACTAGACTGGATGGTCGGAGTGAGTGGGAGTTGAATGCGTAGAAGGGATTGTAAAGAGATTTTGGAGCTGGAGGAAGTCAAGGAGAGTGTATGATATGG